TATATATGTATATATATATTTTTTTCTTCTTAACTTTCTGCTTTTCTTACTTTTCCGCTATGAGTCTACTGAAACTTTTTCTGTATAGATGAGATATATCTGAGCTGCATCTTTCCATACTTTCGGCGTTTCGTCTGTCATCTCCGACAACTCCGTCATTTATAGCCCATTCCAATACATTAGCAAGTTCTACGGTAACTGTGGTACGTGTGGCACCCTCTGTGGCGATAATAGGAAACAGTCAACCGCTTCCGTCCTCTCTCCATCGGTGTACCGTAAGGCACCGGCGCGCTATGGCTGTCGTCGTTGTCGTGGCGGCTGCTTCGGTTCCGCTGATAGCGGTTGCATTTCACATTCTTTGTCCACTCGCCATGCTTTCTGCTATAGTGTTCCGCCAGACGGCAAAAGATGTGAAGTCGCGCTTTTTGCCAACTGCTAGGAGCAATCTCTCTGCACCTGACGCCCGTTTTTGAACGTCAACCGTTGACGATTGAAGTCGCATGGACGCGTCGAACGGAAGGAAGGAGTCGCGCGGCTGTGTACTGATCTGTGATTTTGAGTCAGGTGGGCAAACGTAGATAAGAACCGTCGTTGAGGTGTACACGATGAGCGCGAACGATTTCAGAGCGGGTGAAGCGGTTGTGGGGGAGAACGACTGTCTATGTAGGAGATACAGTATGCCGATATTCGATGTTCAATGGGGATGAGGTGTTTATTCGTTGAATACTATAATAGCAATGTGTTGTAACAATATTTGTTCAAACTTATTTGTCAAAATAACTCAATGAGAGATGTTTGTTTTTTCATCTTTCTAATTGTGTGGTTGTGCATGTATAAAAATCCATGAATAATGCTTTGACGAATTGACCCGATCGATGACGATGCGGAGCTGTCGGAGCTTAAGCCCGTATATTTTTTGTTTCTACATATAATGACACTCGATAACGCACTCACCATAAGACAGGTCTTCTATAACAGGCCAAGCTATCTGATGCAATATCCCATTGGTTAACAATCTTTTCATCGTGACGCGTCTATGCTTACATGTCAAACATGTACCCACTGTGGAGGATATTAAACGCTTCAATGAGGGAATGCATACATTTGATTATTGATGCCAAGGGGAAGAGTTTTAGTTGTTAGTTTATTAACAAAATAGCTATTGTGTGTCGCGAGATCGTACACACACCATCCTCGTCACATTAAATAATCACAAAACGTATAACAATAGTAGCAAACCTCGCCGCACGGAGTTCCATTTCTTCTTTCCATAAAGATGGTTCGCTGTGTCGGAAATATGGTAGTGTTCGTTACTCACAGTTCCGCTCAGCAAGCAGAACTGATCAACGACCGGCCGCCATTACCAATCCAAACCCGACCATATCGATAGCCCGTCGTAGTGGGGCTTTCGCTGCACTATTCCCCACTTCGTTAACAACAGCAACAGAATTTCGGGGAGCAGAGAACGCAGCGACGCTGTCGGCTGAGGCATCGCCGGTAACAACACCATCTCCGAAAGCGGTAGCATATTATCGTAGGATCATCAGAGTTTTTGTCGCCATGGCGACTCGTCGCAAAACATGCCTGTTCTGCCGGCACTCATAGCCGCGGCAGTAGCAGACCGGCCTGTTGCTGTCTTCGCCGTGATCGCTGCCATCGTAATAAGACACTAACAACAAACTGAAGAGGGAACCACGTAACAATGGACAACATAAGGATAGCTGAGCAGAAGCATTCGTAGCGGCGGTTGGCTAGCAAACTAGCTAAGCTAGTGAAAACTGAGGTACGGACTGCCAAGAAAAGCTGTTGCCGGCCACCAAACAACATGTTGATTGCGAGGCTTTACGAAATAAAGCAAAATTTTCCACTTTGCCTTGCGATAACACTCAAGGACAACGCCCGTCGAGCAGTAGAAGAAATTTCGTAATTGATTCGGTTATGCAAGCCTCGAGTAAAGTGAGGTAGGGTGGTAAACGGTGTTCAAACAACGAGCCAGCGATTCCGTAGAATATCGTTCTGCACTCTGGGCTATCTATTAAAATTTTATCGTAAAAAAGAGCAGCGAACTAGCTTGGATACGTGGATGTGATCACTAGGTGCAACAAGCAAAAACCTCCTCGAAGCCTGGGTGCTCAGCAAAGAAAAATCTGCGAAGAGATCTTTCGAACGGCCCCCACGTCGAATTGAAAAATCAGCTTTTAAACTGCTTAAAATAAACCTACCATTGAGTGGTCAATTTTCATATGGTTTGATAGCTAGGGAAATTGTGTTCCCACGTAGCTGTAGAGTCCAAAAACGATTAATTCAAACATCTGTCCTTCAAGCAGTGCGTTGTTAAGCCAAGTTATCACAATGTCGATCACGTGGTGATAATGAGCGGTCGCGGCGATGCTGGTGTCCAGGAGAAGTGATGGTACACCAAAACAAACAGAGTTCCGAACTGGCAAACAAGGTTCCAGTTTCGCTATGTGTTTAGGTTTGTCTATACTGTATGTGTGAAGAAGAAGAAAAAATTCGAGGTCGATTCTACTGCTTGTGAATACGACAAGGTAGTGCGTCCGAATGTACTACACGAACTTTAAAGGTACAGCGAAAGTAAACTGCGTGTCTGGGCGTTCTAGAAGAAAAGTTATATCATCAGAAGTAAAAAAATGCGCGCCTTAATGGAACCCTCGAGGCCTTTAACAACAGCAAGCCGCCGGGTTGTGCTGTTGGTTCTATTGTGTTCCTTGTTTGGTTCGGGTAAGTGGGGAAGATACGTATATACCTATTTTGCTGGGTTCCTATTATATAATATTGCAAGTATCCCAGGTGGCGCTAGGTGTGTGTTTCGAAATTGATCCCAAGTGCAATTAGATCAGTTATAGGTAGTGAATGGTAACAGGCTTGAATGACTCAGTAATCGAACTACCGCCACCTCCATCCGCAATTTTTCGATCAGGTCACTTTATTCGATAAAGCTAGCACTAGACAGATGTAGATGAGTGGCTAATCTCGCGGTTTCCATCAATGAAAAACGTCAGCTTCGTACTACAGATCTACGTGGTACAAGATATTAGCGATATGTAACCGTGTGTAAACGGTAGACAATTTCGCTAGACGAAGAGTAATTTCGTCTACGTAAGTGTCAGGATGCGGAAAAGCGGGTGAAGGTCTACCGGCACATCTAAGGGGATTGTTGTAAAGGACCTTTTTAGCAAATGGCTAAAATTCCCAACATCGTGTTCTGACAAGAAGAGTAACCGCACATTCTCAGTTTGAAAGGCTTGACACTTTCATCTGCTTAATCGGCATTTTACTCACAAGGCCAGAAGGAAACAAGAAGAATGGGTCCGTTAAAGGAAGAACCCTCGCTGAATGATGAGAAAAATAATAAATTATTACGACATCACTAAATTCAGCGGTCCTTTATATATAAATAGAAATGTAAAATCTTATCTTTCGATTCCTTGCGTGTATATAAGAAGCTTGTTTCTCTGCCATGCTAATTATTATCGCTAACGGACGCTAATTATTCAAACTAAAGTTTGCTCGTACTGAAAAGTTTTGGGCTTCATCAAATCCTATTCTATTCTACTTCTCTTCTTACCGTTTCGGATCTGCGTAACGATTCCTACATGCAACATCTGGGACATATACGCAATGCCTTACACGTATGCCAACCATGTGCCAACGGCTTACCATCATATCATGATCGATTGTTCACACGTGGTGATATTTCGAACGATCAAGAAGTAGCTATTCAGCTATGATGAGCCATGATATTATACTATAATCTATATACTATATATAATATATATAGTATATATATAATATGTATACTATACATGTACAATAGTATAATAAATATTTGCCATTATACAGCATAGCCAGACACTCGCTGAGACCGTTATCCTCTAAAAAGGTCTAGAAATTGGGTTTTGATTAGAATAGGCATTCATCCTGTTTTGAATTCAGGCACGTTTGCCTCATATTGTTCCACCATTATTATGCCCATCTGCAATTGTGCCATTACAGATTATATTCCATAGATAGCTCACCTGTTTTATTTTACTCATACAATGGAGTCAATTATTTTGTAGACGTCAACGAAGAAGGCTCAAGTGCATAGGCCCAGTTTCATTTTGTACAATGTGTAAGTGAGCAAGCAGGCACAATTGTGTTCTTTCATAAATACGGCACTAATGAAAAATATCGGCCTTATTAGTTTGTGTTTAAAGACCTTAACGCGTGGATCTACTATTGTAATGCACTTTTGCCTACTTACGATTGCACTGTTTTGTATATACAAGTATGGGGTGTAACTCGCACATTCATAGCGGGCTGGCATTCAATCCGAGGCATAATCAGTAGAATTAGCCTGATCATACAGTATATAAAGTGTTTGCCTTCGGACTTAGGCTCGATAGCAACACGGTTCATTTCGTCTTGCGACGAACTGCTAGCCGTATGAAGCAGTGCGTAGTAGTACCGTGAACGGACGTAAAATATCAACCATCAACTTACCAGTTCTTCTATATGATGACAGTCTACTTATCTATCAACAAGTGTATGTAGTTAAGCTGCCAATAACTTGGCACATGCGACAAGTTGTAGGTAACACAGCAGTATCGGTTGAGTGGCGGCTATGTCGGCCTGTTAGCAGAGGAGGGTCAGTGTCGTGCTTGATAACGACGACAATTCGACAACGAAAATTGTTAGCAACACTTAGGAACACTGTTCGATGATTATTCCTCTCAGTGAGCCGATCGTAGCTAGAAAAACAAGAGCGCAGATGGCGTAGCAATGATTCATTTTACATATTTACGTGTGTTACACATGCGGTGATAGATTATGATAAAACACATTGTTTTATAACAGAACGTATTGTTGGATAAAAGGTCTTGTTGCTTAGCAAATAAAGGTATTTTAAGCACCGTGCCTATGTAGTAACGGTGCGTACAAAAAAAAGTGTTCCTAAATGATCGGCAAAAGATCCATTGTCGCCAGGCGGCTGACGTTCATGAATATAACCTACATGTCGGGCTATAAGCACGACAATGGCGAAATGAATAGAATCAAGGAAATATCGTAGGCGTAATAGATTGTTACAGAATTCACTGTTGTTGGCTTAAAATAGTCGCTGGTGATTCATCCAAGGAAGAGCATGTGTACTCCACTAGAAAGTAGGTTTAGTTAACAGAAGCCAGATCTACAGACACGGGTCTATAGATGATTTGCTTACCCGTGGATTCGTTTAGTTCTGAGACAAATTGTAAATTTCAATAGATACACTTACCTAAAGTCAGCTGCTTGGGTCGCATCTGAGGCTAACGTCTGTCGGTAAGTATATACCGCCGCTTTCTAGGACGAACTAAATAGTTCTCTGTGAAGCTGCCCGTTTTTTACAGATGCAACCCGCTTCCGTACACTACGATTAAAACGAGTAGCTCTTAGTTATATAGCCTTTGAGAATCGTTTGAAAATCGCTTGTTATGCAAGTAAATTAAATTTCACATAACGCTAAATTAACTTTATGTGAAATAGAAGGTACTAGCATCGTACCATAACGTGTTAACATAGAACGGTGTTGATAAACATTTTCTTTATAATTATACTTTTTTTTCCTATGGCTATATCCACATTAAGTTCAATTTTTTTCGTTTATGGGTGAGATCCTATACGAACAATACAGATTACGCATCAAAAGTTATTGCTATCCAATAGCGCAAGTTGAATTCATAATTCAGTCTTCGGCTTTAAAGCTATTCGTCTCTTTGCTATCCAGAGGCTCATATAAAAGAGTCAGATGTGTTCCGCTACGTTAGGATGTCTTACGATCGAGTTGAACTCAGTGGATGAGTTAAATTGGCCTTGGCCTGTCTGGTGATAAAAAGAAAAAGACATTGAGAAGCCCCATTTGATGTTGAACGTTGAAGTGAAACGAGTCAGTTCCTCTAACTTTACGCATTATGGGTTGGATTTGGCTGGCGTTCGCTAACTTCAGCTAAACTTAAACAAAACTGTCCGGTAGAGCAAACTTCTCCTTTCTGGACAACCTATAATGCTACTAACACATTACCCGAAAAAACAGCGCCTTGATAATTCTTAACAAAGAAGATGTCAAAAGTCTTTTTTTTCGACAATTTTATCGAACCTACATTCAAATTGATTATATCAGAAGTGAACAAGAAAAAAAACAATAAATTATATTATTTCCCAGCAGTATATCTACAACTTCTTAAAATTCTACTAACATATTTTCCCTCTTTTTTCTGACATTACAGCAACGTCAATTAAATGCTACGTCTGCAATTCCTACTCGAATCTATACTGTTCGGAGAACTGGGAATTAGGCGAGCTAAGTGAAGAAATTAAGCCTATCGAATGCGATCAAACTTATGAGGCACAGTATTGTGTGAAAACCACCGGAATGTACCAAGGTAGTTGTGCTCCAAAGACCTTCACCAAGGATTATGCTAGGTTTGATCTTTGCGTTCTCGAAAAAATACGAGCTGTTTCTAATCCAAAATTAAATTCAACATTTTCTATATTTCGATCAAAGACCTTCTGCCATTTTTCTGGCAACACCGTAATCCCATCACTGCGAAACTTCCCGGACGAAAATTTCTAACAAGTAATTTTTGTATTGCCCCAATGACATTAACACCGTTAACGAGCCTGTGCAGAGAATGAAACAGATGATAATCTATTGTCTTTCAAAATCTACATTAAAACGTCCATAATTGGTCGACCACTACGAAATGCGTTTTTATCCGAACTCACACGAAACATCATCCAAAGGGATACTCCGATAATGCATATTGACCAAAAGTGGCATAAACTCCTTCATGGGCATGGGCAATACCGCAATAAAATTATGAAATATAGTGGATTTTTGCAGAGATTTTATTTCGCTCCAAGATGCTCTATTTCAAGTAAAAGAGTCCCAACAAATTTCGCATAATATTCCTGGCAGAGCTCAGCGTTAAATTTACTGCAACGTCGACCTGACGTGACTCATACTATCCGAGATATGGTACCTTAGGCCAATTTACCTAGAAAAACAGTCAATACTTATTCGATAAGCTAATATTAGATTGTTCTTATCACATAGATACAAATATCAATCTCATTTTGGTCATCGATGGCCGTATTCTGTAAGGCCTCTACATTTTGCAACACTCTTTGTCTTTGATGTACCCTTATATTATTTGAAATCTGTGTCCGTGCAACCGAATACCGTCACTTGGGATTCTAATAAGCAAACTGTTGTGACCCACGTAAAATCAGAATATAAGCTCAATCCAGCTGTGGGGAAAACTCGTCGTATAAACCTTTGGTTTGGAAACTGTAACTTCAAAAATAAATCTTCTGAACCAACCTTTGTCCAACAAACGGTCTAGAGCTTTGCTGCAAACTGACCTATCTCAATAGAGTGTATGAATACCAACACGCAGGTTCACTGGTTTACCTCAACGGATATATGCGTTCCGCATAGTTTTACCGAAAATGGGAGACAGGGACGTTTTTTTTTCTAGCTTTTCTTTGGTTTTACGTTGTGTTGAATTGCTGCCTCTGATGCCAAGTGGATTTTCTGCGATAATCGTAAATGGTCATACAAGTAGATGGAGGTGGGCAACTGAGCCAGCGGCAGATCGCCTTAAAGACAACTGGTAAAATTAATGGTGTTTGTTTGTTGACATAATATAGTCCGTGGTGGTTCGCCAACTCAGGTCAAAGGTACTGTTAATAAGCAGATAGATAGGTAGGTAGGTAGAAATGATGAGAACTCTGCATTAACGGGCGTAGTGAAAAGTGTGGTAGATCACTTTAATCGCACGATCACTAAGGCAGAGGTAGCAGGGATTATAGTTCAGTGCTCTCTCATTGATTGTACAAATGGCATTTTTTAAAAAATGATTTAAATCGCAACATCGTGTCAGAATTGCCTTTCGCCCATTCTTAATTTTTGTACTCTAAACTTCTACAGATGTAAGATTAAAAAGTTGGAAACCAAAATGGCAGAGGATCAAAAACAACTATGGTACATACTTCGACTGGAAGTAAAACAAACTAAGATTGTGAAAGAGTTCATTATTTAACCTTTGATCCGAGCCATATATATATATATATATATATGATTCGTGACAAACCTACTGTGAAGAAATAGAAGATTATAATTAGGTATATAGATAGATAATAATAAGAAGAATAAATATAATATAATAATAACGAAATCAAATCAATCGTAGGCAGAAAGTGTCGAAACTTAATATTAATTAATTATGATAATATTAGTAATTAAGTAACATAATAGTCATAATTATTTGATGTGATTACAAATGAAAGGTAAATTTTATCAGTACTAGCCAGCAGCGGTAACAAGAATAGGGCAGGACCCGATCAGAACATTCATTAAAGTAAACTGTTTTGAATATACGGCCAGAGTTGATCTCTATCCGCGGGTTTAATTAACCTTTTTTTAACCTGACTAACCAACAGGTACGCTAACGAACGGCACTAATCGCATGGTGACGAACAACCACAAATTCTAACTGCTGCCTTTTTTCTGGTTACCTTTCTTATTCTTCCTACGTCGTCGCTCTTACGCATCTTCGTTAATTGGTAATCGGCCTGGCACCTTTTACCACATCTGGAAACACCGCCGCCCTGTTACATTCAATATATTCGAAATTTTGCGCGCCCGCAACGGATTGCTGATGAACTGTGAACCTCAATATAGGCGAAATTGGTACGCAACGATTCTGTTCAGCAAAACATCTGGGTAACTATTGCGATTGGAATTCACGACCCGGTGACTTGGGCGAACGTGGCCAAAAACGTGAATATCGGGCCTGTGTCTATACGTGCGGAGTCGACGGCTGTAATTCAGATTTGAGCCTAAAATCGACTTTAATAGCAATAACTACTACTGTAGTGCTAACTATCCTCTACGGCAGACTTTATACAGGATGAGAATGCCATTCTGGAGGGTGATAATTTGTCTGCATCTTGACGTCATAGATCTGATTTTCAAATTGTAAAAAATCACAGCACATTTGGCAGAAGGCTGTCACTCGTAGCTAGGTGTCAAGTAAGTAAACGCTCTTTGATTATACTATTGTGCGGCGTTTGCTGTCGTTGCCGCCACAGTCACATCGATCTGAAAACCCGGACATTTCAGATGAACACCATGAACAGCTTAACAACTGTACGCAATGGCGTCAACGTGAATGGCTAGGATCTACGTATGTGCATTCGTTCGAAATTTGTAGTAATTTATGGAGTAAGGATGCCGCATCTAGTGACTGCTCTGGTGCCAACTTGCGAGGCTATGGAGGTGACACACGTGTACTATCATAATTATCGTCAAATTTTTCCGTCCTAAGGAAATTAACGAATCGATTGGACACCTTGTACATAACAAATAGCTATGATATACAATTAGACAGGGTCACGCTGATCGGGCGACGGCCTGATAAGTGATGGGTCAACCAGAAAGATTAATCATCTCATATGTATAGATCAGCAAATTACAAGGCACGTCATTCTGTTGCTGAATCCTTGCATTATGTTAAAAAATCGCACAAATGTCCACGATGATAGCGGCTACGAGTCGGCCTACAAACGCAATTGAACTCTCTGTATCTCAGAGGAACATCGTCGTTGTTCTACGGAAGCCGTTTAAAATCCGTCGGGACATCTGACCGACATCGAAGCGAGACCTTCCTCCACAGGGACATTATACTTTGTACGCCAATAGGAAACAGGATAAGTCGTAATATTAAGCTGCTGAATGACGGGTCCATGTGGTCCCGTAGTCCGGCTGAGGCGTCTCATAACCGCGTTTTATAGGCTGCCGAATAGTGGAGCATCATATGAGGCATTAAAATAAAGCATTTACCTCTGCGACATTTCCCCGTCGTGGAAACGCCAACGTGATGTATTATATATAATATGCAGTTTTCTGGCCCTACAAATAGTAGAAATACGTAAACCCCATGACACCAATTGTGTTTATATAAATATATATATATACATCAAAATGCCATTTTCAAAAGGCCGCTAGTACTTGCGCAGAAATCATAACGATGATAACGAATCATATAACAATCATTGAAGTTATAGGAAATAGAGATGTTTTTCTAAAAAATAAAACAACGCTGCCAATTCGTAAGTAGCTATTTTGTAATTAATTAATCGTGTGTGCGATGAAAAAAAACAACATTGTAGTAAAACTGCCATGAACATGTGTTCGCGTCAGGAAGTTAACGAAAAAAAGGTTTGAAAGATTAGAGTTGCGAAAACTATGCCAGTCAAGCAACAATTTATTTAATAGGTAAAGAATGATAGAACGTGTTCTCCGTAAACCTGGGTAATAAAATGAAGCTCTAACAAATTCAAAGTGCGCCTGACAGGACCTTTCCTGCACTGCACGGGCAAATATAGATATTTCTATATTTTTTTCTGGTTTGCTGTATATGTGTATAAGGGTTTCTTGAACTTGTGCGTGGAGTTGTTAATGTATGCATAGGTATGAGGCCAGTCGTAGATTTTAGAGGAGACAATTGATGCTGTCGTAATCAAGCGTTTATAGAATATGTATTAAAACCATACGAATTGATACAATCGAACAGATATGGTCATTGGACGTTACATTTTATTTGATAGCTATCAAATACACAAAATAATAATGATCTAATAAAGAATTGTGTTATTTATGTTTGAATTAATACGCGAGTCATTTTTATATATTAGTAAGCATATTGAACTTGAACAATGTTCAGTTCTTTGAGTTACTGAAATTATCATATATGCTACTTTCAAGTAAAGTCGAAGTTCAGCACTTGCGAGAAAGTGGATTATATTTTTCTTAGCCACTCTCGTTTGTACCTGCCGATTAATATATATATATATATATATATATATATATATATATATATATATATCCTTATTCAGGGCGAACTAGAAATCGGTTCCTCTTGGAGAACTTTTTTCTTAAGGTGACTTCTAAACGCTCCTAATACAGGCCTATTTTCACATTATATGTTCTTCGATTGCACTTTTGTTGCTTGTGTTAATTGCTGCAAACAGACCTCAATGACGTAGTACTTTGGTGCTACTTGGTTAAGCTTGCTTAAGGAAAATCTGTTTGTATCAGTTAAACATGTATTGTAAGCAGTACTAATCACTCAGATTGGGAAGAAATAAAATTATGCTTTCAGTTGTTGTTTTTACTTTTCAGTCGCACACCTTGATGTACAATAAACAGTATAAAAACGCTCGCATACCCTATAGACGTGAGGCATCTTCACCGAACCATAACTACGTAGACACGCTTACATTTGCCTGACATTTACACTGATACACATCACCAATAAGCGAGAAATTGAACTTTCAAGTCCTACTCTTTTCAAGCTTCCTAACAGAATCGCTAAGGCAGTTACTATGTAATTTATGCTGTCAGCATGTCGAATCAAAGCAGCTAGACGTAAACGCGGTTTTATGCAATATAGTAATATACATAGAGCTAGTCTGCATTTGCATGAGTCCACACTTTGATGCGCTAGTAATAATCTTGGACCCAACAAAATATAATTCAATTTTTTAAAGGCTCAGCCCATTATAATTGCTCTGCTATTTGGTTACAGACCTTTTAGTGTAGTTTCTTATCGTCTCAGCTTGGAAAGGTCATCGTTACCATTATGTTACAATCATAATATTTTCGTTACTTCTAATAGAAGTAACTTATCAAATATTATCACAATTAGGGCTAAATTTCTTAGTTATAACCGAAACTATTGTTTTTGAGATAGCTAACTCGCTCCGCAATTTGACAGCCTTAACGCTAATTGCAGTATACGTTGATGAGCTCAACTTCACATATATAGAGTTAGCTGTTATGGCGTGAGTGTTTGCTGTTTTCGCAGTGTTGGAATATGAACATTGTTAGCGTCAGCGTCCATGATGCAATCAGACAATTCGAGTAACAGGACGCTTCGTGACGTAGAGAATTCCAGCACAGATAGCGGCTAGTCGAACAACAACGACGAAAACGATTGCCCATATAGGAAAATCTAAAAAAAAATGCAAAAACAGCACATTGAGGCTGTGACGTCACTTGTTTTTGCTAAGGGGCCCTCTCACAAAGCTAGAGGATATTAGCATATTCAGTAATTAATCGTAGTATACATGTTAACTCGTCGTGTGGAATTATGATTATATATACAGTTTATATCCTGTCCGATAATGAAAACTATATTTATTTGACAAGATCTAATATCTTGCATCGTGATGGCGTATTATATGTAGGGAGAGGCAATACCACAGCAACAAAAAGCCGAGTTTCCAGTTGGGAAAACAGAAAAAGATTGGGAATAAATAGGCTGACAGTTGATTTGCCAAGCTTTTTCCTGCTATAATTTATTTTTCCTGACTGTAGACCTTTGTCCCAGCTAAAGAGGGTTGATGTTCGTCACTACAGACCATGCTTAAATATGGACCACTTAATCGTTAAGAAACTGAAGTATATTTAAGAAAGATTATTCATGCGAAGAGTAAAGGGTGCGCTATGAAAGCACTTACTATCATCACGTTGTCTAAGAATGACGCTGGTGACAGCGCTTTGACCAAGGATTATAGTTTTATCAGGACAAATATTGACTGGGGTAACTGAGATCACGTACTTGTACCCCTATTGAGCATTCTTTATTTTCACAGTAGCCGAAGTGCTTGACACCTTCTCGCTAAGGTACATTCGTTTAGACAAATAAAAAAACAAGCAAGTTATTAGAATTGTTAAGACTTCAGCATGAAGTCAGTGAACGTCACTTAACATTACCCTTGCCGGAAGTTAAGATTCGTTTGAGGGAAACCTAAATTAAATTCAACGCAATTAGTACGTTTCTCTATTATGCGCTCGTAAACCATCGCAGTGATCTCATTTTGTCATCATGTCTAGCTGTTGTCTTATTAGCGCGTTTCTAAGTACGCTGTTTCAATATACAAACAGAGTAGTCTTTACCTGCTTTGATTTAGATACTTCATGACCACGTCTTGCCCTTCTCGTTATCCTACAGCGGCTATTCTATTCTACTTTGCTATGACTATTGTATAGCTATTGTTGATGCCTTTAATGGGACGACACGACCAAGCCATATTATGTTTTTTGCTACCGAAGCATCACACGTATTTTTTATCTTACGGGCATACGAGAGATATGTGCAATGCTGGGTTTGTACCCGAGTTCCTAGAGTATAAGGTAAAGCAAGAATATTTAACCACCTAATCCTTCTTGTTTGAAAGTGTCAAAGCTATCAGGCTTACGTCTTTTATTTATACGTTCTCTATTGGCCTATGCAGATGCATGTAACAGATTAAAGCAGTAATTAAAAACAATCGAATAAACTCATTCGACATATGCTTACTATGATGGCTCAATACTTACGCTGGCAGAACAAACTTCCTCCTTCCAGAACAAACAGAGTCCTTTATTACTTATACATTGAAGTGATGTGTGTTTCCATTCGTCTTTATAGGAAGATCCCATGTCACACTAACCGTGTCGGTGAAACCATTTGCTTGTGCAGAGTCCATCACAAAACTTGGGGGGTCTATCGATTCTATACGACACAAGGGAAGCGTTTCGAGATCTGGCTGTTTGATTAAGGCCACACTCATATGATAATGGAGTAGTTCTTAGCGTAATCGAGAGCCATAGGAAGATTTATCTCGCAGCCGTTGATCGACTTCATCGTAAATGCAGTAACGTTACAGGACTCGCAGCAAAGCTCGTACACGTCGACCGTGATGTTTATAAGGCGATCATTAAACAGCATAGTCTAGTTGACGTAATATGGAATCTCGTTTCGCTCAATGGGAGGGCAGTAAACTGTTCAAGCGTAGGCCAGTCTAGCTATAATATGAAGCGTCGTATTTACCAGCGTCCTTTTTCGTCTCGTTAATTATCGTCAATCCGTTAGCAGTCCATGTGTATTCTCTAATATCTTCACTAACCATTACGAAGCTATTGGCTTCTGCTGTATGTTAAGGTTGAATTAAGAAGCAAGAGTTCGATTTCAAACGAAACGAAAGCTTAGCTCTGTCGTCGTCGTCGTTAACTTCCGCTAAAAAGGATGAGTAATTGAAATGACAATATGTTTTGATGGTTACGATCCCAGCCTACGGAAAGATAGAGTGCTTACTGTAAACATCTTTCGTGAACTTCACCGATGTATCGTTATGATCGGTTACATTGATACTGAAGGATCCCAAAATGCTATCGGGAGGTAAGACTGAATGTGCCATTGAATCCCTCCTGGATAACTCTCAGCTTTTTCACTGCTTCCGTTATGATAGCAAATTGCCGTTTTAATACAACTGCTTACATTTTTTTGCCCGGTAGTGGCAAGCAAACTTGTATTTTCTTTCTTAGATTCTCAACCAATCATCATTAACGAATCATGGATAATGAAAGCAATTAATGAGTAATATACATTACAGTATATAACACATATATATATATATACCATGAATAACGTTCTTTAGTCACGCATATGCCATGAAAATGTACCAGCAAATGGAAGTATCAACCTGACGTTCGCTGAAGAGTACTTTTCGGACTTCGATACGATCGGCCTTTTGAGATGTAATTATTTTATCCATTTGTTTGATGAAAATCTTCAGATAAAATGTCCAACTATAATACAAACAGTAGTTTCTTATCACTTTGACAGGTCAACTCAAACCTTAAATGTGGCTTTACGTTTACCTCATTCATTAGATGAGATAGGATCTTGTATTGCACTAAATTGAGCGCGTTTTTTTTTTATTAAAAACAAGTCAAATGATGATCAGCATGAGGGCAAAGCATTGAAACATTGGCTAATCTCAAATCACGAAAATTATCTCAATGTTCTAATTCTAAGAACATTTTGTTTTTAGTACATCATTCAATAGAGTTGGTTTTGAGTTTAACGCAATTTGTTTAACTGTCCACTATTGTGTGTGATCACGAATTTATACAGATATTTTACGTTTGGTGTTGCCGTTTCTATCGGAAAAAAAATCACAGATTTATTATTACGTAACTCTTCAAACGCGACTTACTCTTTGTGGCCTTTTCAAAAATTTTTGACTGGGTTACATGCGTGCTCCATTGAGCAAGAGCAGCTTTGGTCGCGACACGTGTGAGCTTTCTACAAGTTGCAAATGAATCGACCGCCAATACCCGATCGATGGCAAATTTCATATGGGCGCCTATTGCCGGACAAAGGGGTTCCGGGGGTCTTTGCCGAGAACATTGGATTAAATAAGCACCGCTTATTATCAGGTGACTGTACTATATTGTCATTGTTTTCGTGCCCTACAACAACATCAGTGCACTGCTGCAGACTGGCTCTAGCCAAGAGCTGCAAATTTTACATCACTAGAAGATCATCTTATGTATATATAGATAAAGAATAGTCTTGGTTCCATTTGACGAAACAAATCTGCCAGATGCGTGTATACAATGAATTTGCCCTTAGTACAAAGAGGACATGTTGCGACCTCGTTTCCTATTTCTTCATTACCAGCTGTGTGGCTGTTCTTCTGTAATTCTTATAGCCATTATCTTGGTGTGGTAATAGTTTCACTCGTATGTCGGTACGTCTCTTTAAGCTATACATTTAAAACTAAAAATTTCCATAAAACTAGCATTTGTTATAAATTGCTATTCCATGGAACCCGATGCGACATTTCTATAGACTATTAAGCGGCACACGCAATATTCCACTATAATCAATGAAGTTTACATTGTTATCAATCTTCACATAGATAACTAGAAATCAGGAGGTGTTGATTACCGATTTTG